AAAAATCGATTTTTTGAATAACAATTAAGGCAAAATAGATACTAATACTTGACGATATTAGTTACTATACTTAAAGTATTGGTATAAGCAATATACTTTAGCATTTAACTCCTCTAATTTTTCATTCGGGCTTAGTTAGGTTTCTCCTGCCTAAAAAATTACAGTAATATGTCTACAGTAATAAGCTAATAAGTGACTGCAAGACTGTTGCGAGACTCTTGCGCAAGACTAAGACCATGACTAAGACTGAGTTTACAAGACCAAGAATCGTCTCAGTCTCGCAATTGGGCAACACTAAAACCGAACAAAAAAAAAAAAAAAAAAAAAAAAGGAAAAGATTCTGACAGTTTTAGAGTAAGAGTAGCTACTCATTCTCATTTGTTGAAAATACCATATTTTACATTGAAGTCTAGTATTATTTATCTTTAGTTAATTACTTTTGTATTATATTAGAATTATTGATATTATAATCGGAATTAAAGAAGGTTTTCTAATCGTAGAGTTTCCTTATAAATACATTTCCTTTTAAAGAAAATGTAAAACCAAATTGACCGATGATTAACGATAATATACTGATATCAGATTTAAATATACTAAAAATACCGAAAATGTAAGCATGATCTACTAAAAATTAGATAACCAAGATTAAGAAATTTTCTTTAACCTCAATTAGAATAAACATATAATAATGAATATCAGCATACTATTTTATTGAAAACAATATTTTACGTACATTCTTGTCTAACATCGTTTGTATTCATTGAATTCGGCATTAAATTACATTAAATTTATTATATTTATTGGTATTTCGATTGGAATCTAAAGAAGGTTTTCAAATCATAGACGCTACATTTACTTTTAACGAAAATATAAGACCACATTGATTAAAAATTAGTAATAAAATTAGTAACCCCAAACCGTAAGTTATACCTAAGTGTCCAAAAAACTAAACAAAATCTTAAAAAATTTATCATTAGTAATTTGACATAACAGTCAATTTTCTATCACAGTCTATCAGAAAACATTATTATTATATTCTAGTAGTATATAAGTATGTATGTGTTTTATTTATCTTTAAGTTATTTTATTTTTATCTATTAAATAGATATAATTTTTCTATTTAATTTATTTTTATTTATTGTACATAGAGTGTGAATATGATCTCTGAACATTATTAAAAATATCCTTTAAGACATATTGTAATATTCCTCAATAAACAAGTTAAAATATATATATATATATCATCATCGTATCATGAAGCTCCTTTATCGTATATTAAGATGAATTTAAAGTTGGATCAAAAGATGGGATCACATATGGGTGACCTCACCTAAGTCACCAAGCTTACACAGATTTATACCACACATTGCAATTCACAATTACAGACACATTCACAGTAATGACTACAAACTTACGCAAGTACTTACGGAACATGGGAATACAAAACAATATCTTAAAAGATTCAACATTATACAAACAGACTTATGCGATGAAGACGGACAGGTTCAAAATTTTAAACATATAATATATGAATGCAAACTATTTGACAAACAGCGATTTGAGGTAATAAAAAGCATAATTATCAAAAGTGGAAATTGGCTTAAGACGGAACAAAAGTTATTTACTGAATTCAAGACAGACTTTCATAGATTTATTAGATCGATCGACTTCGACTTACTAACCAGGGATGGGCAGCGTGGGTGATTTCTTGTTGGCTTTGTTGGATTGACTTTATGTTTTTAATATTTAATTTTCCGATTTAATTTTTGTGTGTTTATTCTTTGTATTTTTGTTTGTTAATGTATATAAATTTGAACTAAAAATGTATATCATGTAAAACTAGAAAAGAAAAAATTGTAAACAAATGTAATTCATGTAGTATATCTTTAATGCATGGAGCATGAAGGAAAATCAAATAAACGATCTTTGTGTGGGGTTACCACGGAGGGGAAAATATATATATATTATTCTTAAATTATTGTAATAACAACTTCAACTTAACAGAATTTTTAAATTTCTGATGAAAAAAAGTATTACAATAATTCAAATTTGTTAGTACATAGATTAATATCTGAAGATTTCTTATAACTTAACCTGGGAGAATTACGATTTTAATTTTCGAAAAAGAGCCTTATTGTATTCAATGAGACCAATATTTTATTCGGTTATCGACAAAAAAATAATAAAGAAACGCTGCTCCAGTTACTAGAAAGATTCCCAACGTCAATTGGCAAGAGTATAATAACATTTCCGAAGGGTTGGAAAGAGCTCACGATATATTAGCGTTGTATGAAAGGAACCGACACAAATATCCTCCGAGGGTAAACAATATATTGGAGAATAAATAAGTTTTGCCGATGATCGGAAGCTCCTCGGAGGAAGCCATCAGGAGCCAGCTCAGGAATTTATGGGTTTGTTTTCTCGAGGTCCGCCGCACACAATAGAAGGCTGCCATACAGTAGCGATACACTCTTCCACGTCTTCATGGTATAGGATGCCCTGTTTGTCGGGGTGAGTTGGAGTGTCCCTGTGGAGTTCTTCTTCTCCCGTTGGAGAACAGTGGTTGTTTATAGCGGTTGAAATCTCAATCCTTTAGAATCAGCTTTTTCATTTGCTTTTGATTCTGACACTATTGTGTCAGAATCATAAATTCTGGATTATTTACGGAGTCAAGGGAAGGAATTTAACAATAAATAAAATAAATATATAAAATAAAAAAGTGAAAAATCCGTATGTATTTGATTGATGCCATTGACAACCACGCAAATCTATTTATTTTATTCATTGTATTTCTTAGTTGTTTGCTTTAAATATTCTCTACTGCCACAAATCCATCTGAAAGGCCTATACTCTGAAAATAATAATGTAGCTCTGACAAATAACTGGTCAACACGAATTTCAAATTGAAAGAGGAGCAGTTTCAAATTTCGATTACTAATAGGCTCGTTGTGTTTTTTTTTTTTGTTTTTTTTGAGAAATCTTCTCACCACTTTTATTTTTGATATGACCATTGCCATGTAAAATTTATTTCGAATTTTACAACGTAGAGGTGGTCTAAACTATTTTTGTCAATAGAAATTGTGTTAACCACTTATTTATAAGAGGATACATCTCTGTACTAAAATATATGTCGGTGGCATAATCATATGGTTTGTTCCAAGAATAATAACTTATGTTGTTTTTTTTATAAACAAATCGAATATTGCTACTAATGTCTAATAAACATAATATACATTGCAACCAATAAACTCTGTTTATTTTAAATAAATAACATACAATCTCCATTTTTTTATTATATTACACTTTTTTAAATTTTGCAATAAGGTTTTATAACATGGAAACTATTATTATAAGTAACAAAAATTCGAAATAAAAATTGTATAGACCATTTTAGAACAAAATCACCAATATTTATATTTATATATTTATTAAATAACTTTTTAAACACAATTTGAATATTATTATTTTACTTTCTATACTATATGAATGGCAAACTGAATCAAGATGTACATATGCATTGGGTCTGTGGTGGTTCTCATTTTGATACGCCATCATTTCATTCGTTTTTTATAAATATTAAAATAAGTCTCACTATCAAATCTATGTTTTTAACACCGTTTTTTTAATTTAGATTAAAAATATCCCTCTGTTATGTTTTAGAATAAATCGTTTTAAAGAAATGTGTAATTTTAGAATTTTTATAATTTATTTTAATTTTATTAGTACCGTTGTCTTCGACTGATCAATTCTGCAGCTTAAATATTGAATTTTATTTTATTTACTGTACGCAGAGTGTGAATGTGATCTGTGAACACTATTATAAATGTCCTTGAGACAGATTGTAATATTTTTCAAAAATAAAAAAATAAAAAATAAATAAAATGAAAATTGAATAATATGTGTATTATATAAATATTTATATGTAATATGTTACCTCTCAACTCCCTTCAAATTACAGTATTACAAAAAAAAAAAAACGCTGCAAATTATTTCACAATGGTTTATTATTTCCAAACATTTATACATCCAAAGTAACATTACCTTCCGAGTTACAAAGAAAAAAAAACAAAAGGTGATTTCAATTATTAGACTAAACTGTTTTTCTTTAATCATTAGTAATATGCTAAAAAAAATAGCATTAGTACAGTAACACATTCAAAATTTAAAAACCAAACCAAGGATATAACATTTAGAGTAGAACATAAAAAAAAAAAAAAAACGGATACCATATCTTTGCTCCTAATTGTCCGATTTTAACGATTTTTTTTTTGTTTTTTTAGGAAATTTCGTAAACTTTTAAAAAACTATACAACTATCCAACTATCAAACTGTACAATAACGACAAAAAAGTAAAAACTTTTCGAGTTATTCGGAATTTAATTTTACCATACCTCGTAACTTTTTTTCTAGCTTCTTTTCGTTGAAGTATTTTATATAGATAAATTTAAAGGTCTAAATTTAAGAAAATGACTTTAGCGAAGTTTCATTGAAATCTGTAAATTCGTTTAGGAGCTACAGTCCATAGCAACGCAGGTTTTTCTGCATTTTTATTTTTATTATTTGCCGCCATTTTGAAAGTTAAAGGCGTAGAGTAATGTCGATGAAGGAGGATCATTCTCAGGTGACCTCTGATTTTATATCAAAATTTGAAAAAAATCGGTCCAGTAGTTTCGGAGAAAATGCGCGGACGGCGGACGGACAAAAAAATTTTTATTCGTTTTTCGAATTCTACGAGTCTTGAAACGTGAAACCTCATATTTTGAGAGGGGGTTATGTTTTTGAGTTTTTCGGTCGATCACAATGTTTCATTATTGAAAATAATAAACCAACACTACTACTGAATCCCAATTACAGCTCAATCCGTTAAATTGAAGATTCAAATTCATTTATGCTTAAATTTACTTACGTAATACTTTAAAAAATATTGTAAATAATAGTTTATATTAAGTTAATTTATATTTTATTATTATTAAATATTCATTCGCTTTTTATTCTTTTAGATTTGAACCGAGATCGTGATGCGAAGGACGAATTTGACCTACCAAGATGTGGTAAGAAAACACATTTTATTTTAAATATTGTTGTAATTTCAAAGAATAGTTTCAATAAATGTTTTTCCTTTTTAATCAGAAAATACAGAATACCATTTAAAAAAAAAAATCAACACCGTGCTGTAGTATAATTTTATTTGACTTTTGAATATACTATAGTCATAGAATTGATATTTCGAATTTTTTTTAACATTCCATTAATTATGCCTAGAACTCTTCAAAACAGACTTTATACGCTTCTTGGATTAGAGTTGTGGTTTAGATAAATGTTGATAATTTTAGAAAATAGTGCATTATTTCAACTGCTTTGGAATGAAAATGCTATGTTTTGGACATTACATTACATTGATGTGTTTCTTAGCTACCTCTCAGTTCAAATCAAATTTGTTATTTAAGATAATATTAACCTTAGCAAAAGCTTTCTAAACGTTTAAGATTATGATATTCATTTAAAATAAAAGTATAAATAATAAAAAATGTTTTCATATAAGATTGTAATTAATTCCTAACCCAAATTTTCAATTAAACATATATATATATATATATATATATATATATATATATATATATATATATATATATATATAATTGATCTAAAAAAAAAAATATATATGTATATATATTTTTATTTATTTATTTATTTTTAAAAATTTTATTTCATAAGTCTATGAACAACTGACATTATACAATCTTACTTGTGGTGTTGTTATATTTTGGAGGCTTATTACTATTAACATGTTTATTATGAAGACTATATTTAATTAATAATATGGATTTATGTTGTTTGATTTTATCTATTAATTTCGACAATATATTTAAATCTTTATTTTATCTTTTAACTATTTATACTGTTGTCTGTATTGTTCCTATTAAGAATTTTTAGCACAGTTTTTTTCTAATTCATATTAATTATAATAATCAATACATATACATAAAATGCATAATTAATGGTTTAAATGGTTTTAGCATTTATAGTTTTGGCTATTATAAATTGCTATCATTAACTACAAAAAAACAAAAAAAAAATAGTACACTAAAATAAATGAATAATCGAACCCTGAGTGACATTACTTGTAATTTATTAAATGATAATAAATTGAATTAACTTGATTAATTTATTTAATTTTGAGAAAACATTATGTACTATATTTCTTATTGAATGGTTTTTACTTAATAGTAATGTTACACTTTTTTTTTTTTTGTGTGTGTAAATGAATCTAGTCAATTAGTTTCAACTTTGGATCGGAAGGAGGTAAAATCGGGCAGCTTAGGGGTAAATAATTACCTTATTGGACCAGAAAGTTGGCACTTGAGACTAAACTGTTTATTTAATCTAAAAATAAATTATATAATTATAGAAATGGAAATTTTGTATATTAGTATCCCTGTATGTCAGTGACCCCTAACCACCCCTGAATTCAGAAACAAGTTTTTATTAATAATATAACCGAACGGAGCTCCGGTTTTATTCTGGTTAGTGTTTCGTATAGCCACGTTTTGAAAGTTTTGCTGCCAGCTTATAATTTGCGGTACGCATTAATTAATATGATTGAATAAAATTTTTGCTATTGTCTCAATACTGTAACGTTCCAAAACGATGTTAAATTATACATTCATAAAATATGACCTTATATTATATTTGTATCCCATGTCAATTACTTCTGAAATTTAATAAAATACAAGCGCAGCCCCAAAATGATTAATAACAATACGACTGGATCTTGTTGTAAATATTTCTCCATTACTAGTGAAATTTATGCAAGGACATATTATTTATATTGCGATTAATTATTTTCAGGGGACAATACATCTGGTGAAACATGAATTGCAAGTAATTTCTTTAAATTTATATATAACGCGATATAATTGAGTTAGCGATATTGCCGCGCATGGACAAGTTATCGCTTGTGCCCAAGTTAATTGGTGTGTTGCTTTTGCTGTTTCGGATATGCATAACATTTAAATAAATATCAAGTGGGTTATAAATTAGCGGTCTCACAGAGGATAGGAACTAGGTGAGCGAGCCTATATTCAGGAAATAGCTGAAGTATCGAAGTATATCTTAGAGCGATAAGGCCGATGAAGAAACGGTCATATAAGACAATCTGATACGAGGAAGGTTGAAAATGTGATAGTATATTTTAAATGTAACATTGCCAAGTATATATATTAAATTAAATGTAATTTTATTAAATTATTGTAATTGAAACATGCTAAAATATAAATAAAAATTGTATTAGTAGTAACACAAATATATATGTTACTATATATTTATAAGCTTATTACATTAATTTCTATGAGTAAATAAGATTTAATGAAATTACATATTATTTAATAATTTTATTAGTTAATATTGTGATTATTTGACAATTACATTAGTTTTATCAATTTTATTTCTTTTAAGTTGATAAATCACTGCCAAATTATAAAAAATGCTGATCACAAAATATATACAACAATTGAACTAATATAACAATTAATAATTAATTTTTAATCTTCAAATATTAGGTTTCATATTTTTTTCTCACTCTCTTACGATTTTATTATGCAAATTACAATATATATATATATACAAATATATAATAATACAATAAAATATATACATATCATATAATAAAGTATATACCTATAATATAATACAATATATACATACAATATAATACAATATTTACGTATAATATAATACAATATATATCCTTGAAAAAATGGGAAAACTCAAAAAATGTAATGTGATATATTATATACTGCTGTTTCAAAAGTAAACAGTGAAGTAGGATGCGCTACCGTCAATCCTCAAATACAAATGTATTTCAAAATTCCGGAGATCTGCTCTGTGTTTCGTGGAGAGATGAAATAAGAGAAGCCTTACCGTACATTGAGACAACTGATAAGAACATTTGGGCCGTATTAACAAAGCAAGAGCTATATGTTGAAATATTTGGTGGAACATTACGGAAAAGGAAAACGAAATAATTTTATTTTGGGTCCCTTCACACTGCGAAATTGTCGGAAATGAACAGGTAGAGAAATCAGCCAATATGGCGAGAAGGTGAGAAAGAAATCTGGAAGTAATAATTAACGAAATTTCCAAAGAACATTTTAAAAGAAATACAAAGCCACTGTTCTAAACGGAAAATCAGTAACTGACTCTCAAGGAAAGAAGAGACAGTCCTCTGTCGATTAAGAATTGGGCATTGTAAATCTTCACATGCTTACTTACTAAGAGGACTAGACCCACCGACTTGCGAGAGCTGTAAGGTACAAAGAACAGTCCAACACATCCTCCAAGACTGCCCAGTATTTAAAAATATAAGAAAACAAATTGATATGGGTCAAAGCCTAAAAGGAAACCTAATTGACAATGATTATAAAATTCTACAACTGAATATAAGCAAAAGGTGTTGCCAATGACCCTATAGAAGCAAGAATAAACACAAATAAACAAATTTTAAATTACACATCATTTCCAACCCTACGACTCAATTAGTAGGGGCAGTAAGATTGCGCAAAAGTTAAAACCACAAAGAAAATGGCGGGGGTCGGATAAAAAAAAATTGAGACCTCAAAAGACACTTATCCAATACCAACTAAATTTACAAAATTTCAACTCTGTAACCCTCTAGATGTCTGCAGAACGTGAAATACACCAAAAATTAACTTGAACTGGTACAACTTTACTAATATCTTATGGTACTGATCTCCCCACCGGTTCAGCTCATTTGATCTATAGGAGCATTTTGGATGTACCGAATTGTAACTGGAAAAATATATACATATATGTTAAATTTTTAAAATTAAAACCACATATAAATATATCTTTGATTTATTTCGAAAATTCACGGAGTAACATATTATAAAACAAAACCACTTAGTAATTTGAAAAATGTTGTTTCTGTGAAATCATAAACATTATTAAAATTGTAACTAGACGTATAATCGGATTATTGTTATTTTGATGTATTTAGTCTCTTTTTATGTATTTAATTATGATTCACAAATACGTTCACTAATGTTTACATCTATCTAAAGCGACATTGACATTTTGCAATAAACTGGTGATATATAAATTTATAGATATGCAGCTCTGAAATCGTGTTCTGGGTGTTCTAAAGATAAAAAATGTACCTCTCAAGTCTCTCTAATGATTTTTGATACAGTGTTAATAATAGTTTGATTTAGACAATATGACTAAACACATGGAAATTCAGATAACTGATTCATTGTGAAAACATTTATATAATATTTACTTGGTTTTTATTTGGACTGTTGACGCGTATTCGTGCGCCTTTCCTATCTGTAAGCCGCTCTGGCGGTGAAGTACGCCACATCCAGGATACGCCGCAACGAACACTAGGACGACAATAGAACCTAGTTCGGACCAGAAATGTAAATCGTGCGGCATTGTCAGCCAATTTGCAGAGTGTTTGTTTTAAGACAGCGAGGCAGGAGTCAAAGAGAGGCTGTTTTGCACTACAATACTCCTCTAGTTGCCTCTATAGTCTAGCGTAGCTTTCTTTTTTACCAATGCACTTTTTGTATGCGGACTGGATCTAGTTCCAGCGCGGTGGAAGGGTTCTAGCACACAATCCCCCTCTTTGAATAGTTGTAGTTTTTTAGCTAGATTTTTTTTCTCTCTCTCCACGATACGAATTTTCTGTTGGAATATATTTTTTTATAGTTTCGCATATATAATTCTCTAGCATATGGCCGTGTATACGGTTGGTTAGGCACTGATTCAGCTGGAGCTAGTTGGGTGATATAGCCTTTATGAGTAGGATTGCTAGTAATATCAATAAACTATTAGAAACAATTCTATCCACCATTTATATAGATATATAAACTATTGACAAAATTAGTTAATTGTTACTGTGGATTTTATAAATTTTAAAGTTGATATTTTGTCGAAATATTTTTGTAGATAATAAATTAAGATATGTTAGTAAATCAGGCATGCTATAAAGTAAAGGGACAAAACGTAACTGTGAATACTTTTGATTAAT